ATAAATTTGTCACAATTGTACCGATTTGGGGTTTTTTGTAGTCAAAAAATTAGTTTGGGATAAATTTATCGCAAATATATCATTTTAAGGTTTTTCATGGTATTAATCCTAAAAACAATAAGAGAGTGAGATTCTGTCCGGTAATAGATGAAAATTCTCCTAGCATAAAGTAATTCAGAGCAGCCGGTTTCAAAATTTCTTAGCAACGAAGGGACCCGAATTTGAAATTTTGGAAGCTACACAGATGCCAAAAGTTTCTGTTTTTGGACTCCAAAGCCATTGAACTGATCGCTATTATCTCCGGTTTGCAGACGATCTTTGCTGAAGAAATATTCCAGTCAAAGAAAGTCGAATTCATTCATACTCCCCTGCCTTGGCCAAAAAAAAAAATAATTATTAATTTTTCCCCTTAATAAAAAATCTAGTTAAGAGCAAAAAGGGTATTTTTCACGATAGATTGGGACTTCTTAATCAACGTCGCAAGATGTGAAAATGAGCAAATATTTATCGCATTTTATTTCCCGATCACTATATAATGAAACATCGATAACTTATCCACGCATCGAATTATTATTTTCTTGCAGCACATTTTATATTTGGAAAGATGCGAATATGAAGAACGGTATCTTACTTACAAAATCAATTTATCGAATGCTTGATTGATAAGAAATCCCAAACATATTATGTTAATTAAGAATATCTGCTCTCCTCACAAGATAGCCTTTATGATTTTTTTTTTTTGTCTCGTTTCACATGGGGTCCCGCGAGATGCGTTGCATGTTTAGTATGATCTATCAAAATCACATTTAGCTTTCCATATGATGATTTCCGTGGCATGCTCGCGCAGGGTACTTATTGAGCTCATGCTAATAAACACAACAAATAAGGAAAAAAACGGAGAATTTATATAAGGGATAATGCCACCAAAATATCCCGGCATGATATACCCGTGATATATTTATCACAAACTAATTTCCATGTCATTAAAAACGTCAAATTTGATATGTCCCACCCTTCGTTAACTTGGGACTGATATTTTTCATCAAATTGCCGACGTCGAAACATACGTGTGTAACAAGCGACTTGTTAGCATGGATCCAACATGAGTATTCATTATAGATGGCTTCTTTGAATGACGTCGTCGTGGGGAAGAGATCCGAAGAAAGTGAATTCATGAGATTGGAATTATGAAAAGTTGAATACTTTTCTCTCTCACTCCAAAATCACCAGGATCAAAGGTCAGAATTAGGGATCTCGGCGGATTTCCGAAATGCAAGGGAGTTTGCTCTCGGGAGGAAAGCTGCTGGCTTGCATCGAATGGACCCAACTAAACTTTTGGAAGTTCTCTCTGCTCTCTCCATCTTCTTCAGCCTTTACCCATGTGGTGGAGGGCTTGAATTAGTCACACCCTCCTCTCCCTCTTCTGTTGATTTTGTTTGAGTTTTCTTGTTGTCTTCTTTTGTCTTGTTTCTCTCCCGATCTACATTTGAGAGCTCTCTTCTCCCGGTCTAATTTTACATTTGAGAGTTTGAACACTCTTGATCTAGTTATAGATCTAAGAGCAATTCTCTTCCGATTTAGATCTGAGAGTTTAATAAATTTTTTGGGGATTCGATATCCCATGTTCTATTTGTGTGCAGGTACGTTGCCTCCCGTTTTAATGGTGATCAAGAGCTATGACGTCTCACTACACTACGAAGATTAAGCTAGATCCGTGTTTATTTAACATTTTTTGACTGTTTTCGTATGGAGACAGTGCGGAGAAAGTCGAACCTAGGCGCACACCGCCAACTGACAACGCCGAAGTTATTGGCAAATGAATTTCCGGCGTATACTTATCACTAACGACGATACGATTTCCGGTAATCGGCCGCTCATTATTTTGCTTGACAGATCCGTTCTTATGGAACAAGTGCGTGTTTAACTCTGTCGGTGCTCTGTTGATCCTCTTTGTTTTCTGAATTTGGTTTTGTTTCGTAGTATTCTTAATTTTGCTCTACTTCGATTTGCTTTCCCATGAAAATTTATGTACTTCTTATATATTCTTTTGAGCAATGAATATAATTTTCTACCTGTCCGACGAAAGATTCAAGTCGAGCAGAGTTTGAATTTATCCTTCCCTTACCTTGACAAAAGATACAAAGTAGTCCGGCCTTTTCCCTGTTTTCTCTCCTCTCTGTTTTCTTTCCGCCCTTCAGCAATAAAAAGTGTGCAGAAAGAAAGTAATTTTCTTGATAAACGTGCGGGCAAAACCTTCCCGTCAAAACGGAGGTAGATTTGGACTTCCAAATCAAGGTCGCAACGTGCGAAGATGAGCTAACACTCAAAATTTTTAATATCCTGAAAATAACTTGATATCAAATCTCGAAATATTCGAACCGTTTCACGTAAATTTATGTACTTCCCTTGCCGTTGTACACCATGGCAATAATTTCTCGATTATTTAAACATTCATAGATTAAATAGGGAAAATGACACAAATAGTCTCGAACTTTGACCCATGTGCAATTTGATCCTCAACTTTTAATTTGTTCAATGTAGTCTCGAACTTTAACCTAATGTTCAATTTGATCCCCGAACTTTTGATTTGTTCAATGTAATCCCGAACTTTTAATATGTGTTCAATTTAGTCCTTGAACTATTTGAAAATGTTCAATATAGTCCTTCCATTAATTCAAGTGCAGGGACTATATTGAACATTTTTATATAGTTCGGGACTAAATTGAACACATATAAAAAGTTCAGGGACCACATTGAACAAATTAAAAGTTCAAGGATCAAATTGAACATTATGTTAAAGTTCGTGTGGACTACATTGAACAAATTAAAAGTTGAGGGATCAAATTGCACATTGGGTGTCATTATCCCGATTAAATAATAGAAGGATTTTAATGTCTTTTTTTTTTTTTGGCATATACGCAAAACCCATGCGCGCATTTACTCGGGTTTATTGAGCATACCTCTTAATACTTTTCCTTGCAAGTAAGCTAATCTTTCCACGTCATCTTATGAAAATGTGAATGTAGCCACGTCGAATCAATGGCCAGTAGAGGGTGAGATCCATTCGAAAATATTAGGAAAGACTTCCGAGGATTTAATTTTACTCACCTAATTTTTAATACCATCCCGGGCAACAATTTTCCTAAAACAATTTAATTATTGCGGACATCTTCATAATATGCAAGACTAGCAAAAACGGTGCGCACTTATGCGTATGCAAAGTCTGGAAAATACTATGATAAGCGAAAGGAAAAAAATCCTACACGCTTATCAAGAAAAATGCTAACCGAACTCGTGATATCGTGAAATGGCGGAAATAAATATGACTTCTTTATGATCAAATGAACCATTTTGGTGGTGGCGATATCCGGATATGCATACAAACAAGGTGGTCTGTTTCGAGGCTGCCCAATTTTGTTTTTCTATTATTTTGCTTCCAGATTATGGTCTTATTAATAAATCACCCTATAGGACAATAATTGAGTTAATTAAAATTATTAATCACAACTTTTCGAGAGGTTTGCTGGAATTGAAGAGGCAAGTATTTCGAGAAAGCTATTGACTTCAAATGAAAAGTTTTACGCTTTTTCCAAGTATGTCCAATGAGACTCAATACGGAGAGAACTTATATGGGAGATTCCATTCACCACACCATAGAGTTCCTTCTCTATCTCTCATCGAGCCTTTTAAGAACTTGCTCGGGTCCACAAGATAGCTATCTACTTCATATGAAAAGTTTTTACAGTTTTTCCAAGCATGTCCAATGAGACTCAGTAAGCGCTGTAAGAACACCTCTTTCAAAATTTTCCGACACGTTTACTTTCTTTTCTTTTTCAATGGATCACTCGCCTCTGAATAAGAAAAAATAGGGATAATATCGCAAATAGTCTATAAACTTTGGCTCGATATATAATATCATCTACAGAATTTTTAATCTGCGCAATATGGTTCGTAAACTTTGACTCAACATGCAATGTCGTTGAACGAATTTTAATTTATTCAACGTGGTCCCTAAATTATCGATAAATGTTTAACGCAGTCCTTCCGATTGTATCATATTTATGTAAATTATGGACTAAATCGAACATTGATTGATAATTCAAAGATCATATCAAATAAATCAAAAAATCGAAGACCACATTCCACGTTAAGTTAGAGTTCGAGGATCACGCTGCGCAAATCAAGATTCCAAGAACGCCATTGCGCGTTGAACTGAGGTCGATCCACCACCATCCGTTGTAAATTTTTTCTCAAGACGAGAAACCAAGCCACTACTGACCAGTCAACTCTCCTCGGAAAGGGACAGAGGAGAGGGGGAGGGGGGGGGGGGGGGAGAGCATCCGAGGGAAGACCCTTCGGACAGGAAACCACGTGGCACGTCACGAGCACATCCCGATTCCTCCTTCTTATTTTCCCCCTTTCTTTCCCTCCAAAATTGATTAGATTAAATTAAATCAAAATCAAAATCAAAATCGAGTTTTTTGCTTCTGCAGAATCGGCAGGGGCCCCACGCACGAAATCCCCCTCCCCCCCACCAAGTACTTTGCAAAAGTCGCTAAAAGCAAAAAAAAGGTGTACCATACCCGAGTACCTTCGCGCTCCAGATATTTTATCGCTAAAGTCTTTTACGAATAATAAAAAATTTCCTAAATCCGAATATTCGATTAATTATTTCCCCGAACATTAAAAAATAATCCCCTTAAAAAGCCCCCCCACCCCCCCAAAAAAAGAAAATATTAAAAATTAATTTCCGGGGACCGTTACTTGTACAAACTTCACCGGCTTCCACCTAATTTCTTCCGTTGGAATCCCGCGGCCCGATCGGGACTCCTCCTCCCAGATGCGCCCTCTCTTTCTTCAAGTTCCGTTATCTTTTCTTTATTTTATATTTTCCTTTGTTATTTATTTATATTTGTTTATATATATATATATATATATATATATATATATATATATTGTGCGATGGAACCCGGAAGACCTAGACAGGAGCAAAGGAGGGGAAGGAAAAAGGAGGCAACTTTAAGGGGCCAAATTGCGTTCTCCTTTTGAGATTTCTTTCACAAACTTCCGAAAGGAGCAAATTCGGAGAGGAAAGCCTGGCTTTTCCGTTTGTGCTCTGCCTTTTCGAGCGCCTTCTCCCCTCCCCCACTTCGTGTCTCTGCTGCTGCGGCTGCTCCTCTTCGTCCTCCTCCTCCTCCTCCTCCTCCGAGCCCCCCAGAAAATCTCTCTGTTTTTCTCTGTTTCGCTCTGTTTCTCTCGAGCGTTTCCCCGTTCCCATGGAAGCTTGAACAGGGGACGGAGGGAACCGAGAACTTAGCTAGAGAGAGCGAGAGAGAGAGGCGAGGAAGATACGCGCGTTCTTCGGGCGTTTCGACGGCGCATTTTCTGTGGGCTTTTTTGCGCCTTCGTATGAGCAGGGAGAGGGAATAAGACGGCTTCCGGAGACGCAGAGACAGAGAGAGACAGAGCGGTTGTTTGATGGGTTGGGAGGAGGGGCCGCGGACATGCAATGGTGGCGGGCTCCTGAGGCGGCTCCTGTTGCTCTCGCTGCTGGCGGCGGCGGCGGAGATGGCGGCGCCGCAGGACGCGGGGCAGGGGGACGGGGCGCCGCGGCGGGGCCGGAACGCCTACGCGACGATGATGTACATGGGGACGCCGAGGGACTACGAGTTCTACGTGGCGACGCGGGTCCTCGTCAGATCGCTCGCGAGGCTCGGCGTCGACGCCGATCTGGTCGTCATTGCCGCCAACGACGTGCCCCTCCGCTGGGTCCGAGCTCTGTAAGTCTGTCCTAACCATATTTCAGCAGACAATAATTACTGCCCTTCTTTTTAACATATCTGCGTCGAGTTCATGTAAGAATCGTAATAAAATAAAAAGCAGCGATTTTTAACCGGTCCGAAATATCTCCACTTCACCCAGTCCACATTCGTTTCCCTGAATCGAGCCGATGAACAAAAATATCGTTCTAGAAACCAAAACAAAAGCTGGATGTTTTCATGGAAAGCGCGTTAGCTTCTCTTCATTTTCTTTACTTTTCTTTTGTTTTGGCTTTTGCGGATATTCTTGCATAGTTCTTTCGTTTTCGTCTGCATTCATGTGGGTACTAAACATGAGCCCCAAGTGGACCAATTTGGACACCTCTGGCAATGATCCCCTGCTCCCGAGTGCGCCGTGAGCGTGGACTCCCGCGTCTTCCTTGCTGTTGGGTTAGCGCCCACTTGTGTATTGTGTCCCACGGTGGTGGATCTGGGGTGATCGTTCGGGGTGCCTTCCGGCGATTCCCTTGTGGAGTTGAGAATATGCTTTTGCGTTTTCAGTGAAAAGAATCGGTTTTTCCTTTTTTTTAATAGTGTGGGGTGTTTAATGTTACTGTCACTTCATTACTTGGCGTGAATCAACGAGGTCTCTTAGATGAGAAAATATATGGCAGGTGGCTTTGTCCTGTCGGAAATTCTAGTTTCTTCTCCGAGTTGGAGGGGGGCATGAGGGGAAAGAACCAACCTTTAGACAACCATCGATGCACTTCTTTCGTATCTGTCGTTCTTCTTGTGTTGGACTCTGTCCTCGGGGCTCGTGACGAAAGTCGCGTCTTTCAGACATTCAAATTTTCGAAAAAGAAGAGAAAATGACCGACCTTCGTGATTCATGACGAGTCTATGTTGAATTTGGCTAGCAATCGATTTTGTATTGATTTGGGGTCGGCCAATGAGCTGGTTCCCGCATGAATTGCATCGCAGAAACGCGGCTCAAAAAGTTATCTTTTTGTTGTCTGTCCCTCCTGTTTCTTACCAATTGATCTGTTCTTGTTTTTTTGTTTTTTGGGGGGCCAGCAAATGATCTGTTCATATGTTATAATAAAAAAAGATTGGGTTTTTGGTGGAGGGAGAGAGACATACAGGATAAGACCCATTTTTGTCTTGTTCATGCTGAGGTTTGGCGGTGTAGGTGGGAATGAAATTCTAATCTGATGGATTCGCAAAACGTAAGTGGGCGACTAGGCCCACGAAGATGATGACTCCAAAAGATCATTTTATGTGCTCAGTGAAGGTGGTCAATTTGACAATATCCTTTATTTTCAAACGAATGCGAAAAGCTCCATCCTTTGAAATTGTCAGTCGCATCTCTTAGGGTAGGCACGTCGCGTGTCTGATGTTTTGTTTGTTTGCGAAGGAGAGAGAGAGATGGAGTTTGGTTCGGGAAGCGATACTTGCTTAGGCTCGAACTCCATCCGTGGTTTTAGATCAGATCAATCTCTTGCAGAGCATGTGGTTTTGGAAATGTGATGAGGTCATTCGTACAGAGCATGTGGTTGGTTTTTCATAATCAAATGACTTTCCACCGATCTACGCCGGCCTCCCCGCAATTCACGAGGAGGTCAACGCTGGACAGAGCACATGCAAGCTAGCAAGCACCAACCCAACCCACAAGCACCACTGTTCTATTGGCGGAATTAACTCCCTCTTTTTTCTCTGGCAACTTGGGACTTTTCCCAACGTTTGTTGACGATCCGTCTGTGCAATTCAGGCACGTCAGATGTAGATAGTGGGCATAGGGAGACTAGTACAGATTTCTGAGAAGAATTGCCGGCGAACAGCTAATTATGTTTCTGGAGTTGATTAGTCTTGAGAGGGCTCATGTGGAGTAGGCTGATATTGGGCAACTCTTTGACTTTCAAGCTTAATGCTAGTGCTCTATGAATCATTCAACGTCGGTTGGTATCAGTAAATTATGGTATTTAAGTGTTGCATTAGAGGACGTCCTTTGCTCCTTTGGTTGACTTTGAGGATTTAAGTAGACCCTACTTCAGGATCTTCGAATCTCATTTATAGGCCACGGCTTCTGCTTTTGATTGGATGAAGCATGTTAGTTAAGGAATAAAATGGGAGAGTAATGAGAAGTACAAGCCGTTTGAAGAGCTAATAAAGGTAGAATCCGGCGAAAGATTCCTACTTGCGTATGCTTTGGGCTTTGCTGAAGTCAACTGTGATTTCTTTGATATCAAAATGATGGTGAAAGCCGTCATTTGTGTAAATTAAGATAGTTAATTGCATGTAAACATCTAAATAGATGTAAAATCTGAAGGCACAGTCAAATGCGCAAAACATTCTGCATGGGTTCCGAGAAAAAAAATCGCAACAGAAATTAACTTATGGATGCAAGTGCTGCTCGAGGCTCTTATTTTAAATTTAGGTGATTGAACGGATGCGAAGCAATTACTTTGTCTTCATAACCGCATTAAATTGAAGTTATCTGCCAAGCATCTGATGCTGCATGGCATTTTCTGGGGAAATAGGAGGGTGCGTGTGGCGTCCTCCTCTGTGAATGGAGTTGGACATGTCAAGGTTCATCTTGGTTGGACCAAAATTTACATGGGTTTGTACCGGTACTGCTTAGGATAGTGGCTTATAAGTACATGCCAAGTGTTGAACTTCATATGTTCTGAGTAAGGAGGCGAAGCTTGCGTCTTGCAATGTTCCCTTCCCATTTTGGCCTCGCGTTTTTTTGCAATGTCGCGTTTAGGATCGAAAGCGACTAAACTAGAAGTAATTGTGTGTGTTTCTATAATCTAGGGAACAGGAAGATGGTGCAAAGGTGGTAAGAGTGGATAACCTCAATAATCCGTACAAGAATCAGCCTCATTTCGATCGCAGATTCAAGTTGTCCCTGAACAAGCTCTACGTGTGGAGCTTGGTAGACTACGAGAGGGTTGTCATGCTCGATGCAGACAACCTCTTCCTTCGAAAAACTGACGAATTATTCCAATGTGGCCAGTTCTGTGCTGTGTTCATCAATCCTTGCATCTTCCACACAGGCCTCTTCGTGTTGCAGGTAGAATTTCGCTCTCGTCCTTCATCCAATTTAGAAATTCGTGTGGCTATCGAAACATATGAGAAAAAAGTTAGGGAAATGATTACCTGCTCATGTCAATATCATTATGAACTTTTTCTTCTAATTTTTACTTTGCAAAATTCTGCATGTAACATTTTTCTAATAGTCCTTATGAATGTGTCTCTGCAGCCGTCAGCTGGGGTGTTCAAGGACATGCTTCATCAGTTGGAAGTTGGTAAAGAGAATCCAGATGGTGCAGACCAGGGTTTCATCAGTGGTTACTTTCCTGATTTGCTCGATCGGCCCATGTTTCATCCGCCTGCGAACGGCACTAAGCTCGACGGAAATTATAGACTTCCATTGGGTTACCAAATGGATGCTTCCTACTACTGTAAGTTAAAGGAAAATAGTCTTTTAGCACAGCCCGTGGAGCACATTAATTTATTGGCCTTAATTGCTCTTATCCTTTTGTTTTCAGATCTTAGACTTCGGTGGAACATCCCCTGCGGTCCAAACAGTGTGATCACTTTCCCAGGCGCGCCGTGGTTGAAGCCATGGTACTGGTGGTCGTGGCCTGTCCTTCCTTTAGGAATATCTTGGCATGAGCAGCGGCGTCGTACTCTTGGGTAAGATCAGGAGGATGAGGAACTTCCTTTCAATGATCTGTCGCACTTCTGTGAACGTCAATACATACTAGCGAAAGAAATTAAGACCACCGTCCTAAATTTCTGGTCCATGTTATTCTGTCGATTTCAACATGATATCGTTTCCTTTTCTTGAAATTTGGAACGACGGGAGAACAGAACAACTCAATTCTCTTTCAACGTAGCACGTTGAACCAATCTGTTATAAATTGACATGTTGCTACTGCGATATCGTGATTTTGCAGAAGCTGATCCACCCATTTGTTCCTATGTGCAGTTACAGCGCAGAAATGCCGTTCGCGCTGATCCAAACTGTCTTTTACCTAGCCATGATCACAATGACGCGTTTGGCACGGCCAAACTTCTCCAAGCTATGCTACAGGCGGACTGACAGGAGCACCTCCTTAATCCAGACGGCCCTCAAATTGGTAGCCATTTGGTCAATCCTCGCCGCCTACACCGTCCCGTTCTTCCTCATCCCTCACACGATTCATCCCTTGCTGGGTTGGAGCCTCTATTTGCTTGGGTCCTTCGCTCTCTTGTCCATCACCATCAATGCCTTTTTGCTTCCTGCACTCACGATTTTGGTCCCATGGTTCGGGATAATCGGAACCCTCGTGGCCATGGCATTTCCTTGGTATCCGGACGGTGTTGTGAGGGCCCTCGCTGTGTTTGCCTACGCATTCTGCTGCGCACCTCTGGTGTGGATATCCTTCGTGAAGGTCATGACGTGCCTTCAGGTATCGCTCGAGAGAGAGGGGTTCCTCCCGAGATTGGGCGAGCCATCCCCAGCCCCGGGGTTCAACAAACTGTACTGAAGGCGCACGTTCTGGACAAACACCTGATGTTTATATAGGATTGCATCCAAAAGGGAATTCCGCGAGGAAAGAACACGGGTTTGGAAGCCGCCAGTCGGAGTGGAGATCAATGGGGGGAAGTTTGAAACTTTTTGCACTCCTGCATTCTGTACCATAATTTTTTTCAAGATTTATTGAAACAGGGAAGATTGCTTCATTTCTGTTGAAATTACTGCATTATTTTTCTTCGGCGAACCGTTCCTATGGGTATTTATTCTTGGAAATGACCATTCATTCTTGGAACTGTTCCTATGGGCATTAGTGAGAACAGGGACACAATACATGGAAGGTTGAACTTGAAATGACCATCTATTCTTTCAAACTTTTAACCAATGTTACTCCCGGAGTGTGCTTTTTAGCCAAATATTTTGCTGCCATCGCCAGACACTCACTGTTCATATATGTTCCAGCAAATGGCTGGAGATACAGACGTTGCATTCAAGCTAAACAACTATACGAAAATCAATTGGTGAGTCCATTTAACTCGGTTCGACCGACCCCATTGGAATCTACCTATGAGGGAGAACATGTACTACAGGCTTATCAGGATTGATCGCTGAAATAGAAGACGAACTTTTGGTGAGTCGGACATGGGGTCGAAACAACACCCTGTTTCGCACACAAAACTTTCCTCTGACACAACCTTAAAACTAGCAATCCTTGATCCAACACGAGGATTTTCTAGCGTGTCTCAATCCGACATGAACATCAGGAACAGAGGAGACCATGCGAATTTTCATTCCTTGCAGCTCCCAAGTGATAAAATTTTAGCACACCAAGACAGTATAAAGGAGTACGATTCCAAGAATTCATCTTTCGCTACACCACTTTTATTTGCAGTGTTTTAATGCTCCATGCTTGGACCTAAGCAGGTCCTCAAAAGGCTTCATTTCCAAAGATTTCTTCTTTGGCTTTTGGGGATGTAAAATGTAAATGGGATATTCCCTTTTTATGGGGATGACCAATATCCAGGGGCTTAGGGCCGCCGAGACATAAAACAAAGTAAGTATGCTACAGGTCAGCCTCTAGTAGAGTTGGCCTGTAGCAGGTTTGTGTTCCATTTAACATCAGACAGCAATAGCTGTTGTTGATAAGAGTGATCAATTTTACGATGAGCCGTTTTCTACCGTGGAACTGAGGAATGGTCCACTTGGTCCTGGAAACGGACCTATCGGACCGACCGGTCCGGTTCCCGGGCAAGCCGAAGGAACCGGTGGAAATTTTCCAAAAATCGGGAGGTGAATAAGGGACGCATATTTGATTATACGATTGGAGAGATTCGTGCCCAATTCTCGGGGACAAATCCGAGCCGAAAATCAGGGATTGTAGATCACCAATCGAATTCTTCGAGGAACGAAAATCCCCACAATCACGAATTCAAATTTTTCGCAACTTCGAATGATGCGTGGGAGAGATGGAAACTTCCAGCTCTCTCTTTTCAAGTTGTCGGAGAGCAAAAAGGAGGTTCTTTTCTCTGAACTCCAGGGGTGGAAAAAAAAGAATAGCAACATCTTGATATCCATCTCGATCTAAAAGGATCGATTTTGATAATTCCCCTGAGCTGAATTCCAAGAATTACAGCTACTCTCAGTCTCCAGTATCCATTGAAAGAGCACCAATCTTTGCTCTCTTGCAGATTCATGGAGTGAGAAAGGGCACACTGATGATGCAGATCCAAGCGAGACCCCACGTTGGGTTCTTCGTCCCGTTTGCCCTGCATCGATCCCTCTCGTCGCTTCCTCCGCATCCAGCCGCCTGACCCACGGTACCGTTTCCGAGCTTGCTCGCTATGTTGTTCGAGCTTCAGTACCCGTACTTCACTGGATGCTGATTTGAGTTTCTGTGTATCTTACCTGCTTGTTGAAATGTCTCCGTGAAGAAAAAGGGGGCTCTTTTTTTTTTTTTGTTTGCTCTAGTGGTTCAAGCGCGACTGATACGTTTGGATGGAGTGGTAGTTGTAGTAGTTGCCAATTTCTTGGGAGTGGTGAGAGAGTGTTCTTAGTTTATGGCACAAACTCAATACAATTTAGGACATCGGCATACGTTGATAGCATATGGACACAGCCACTACTGTTTCATCGACGAGATGAAAGTTTGCTACTACCTTTTGGCTTGACGAATTCCATTTACAAGAAAATGTTCTGGTTACCTTTTCTTTTCAATGTTACTGAAACCACTTTTCTGTAATTTTAACTTCTCTTATCATTGAAGAAAAATGCATTCAAATTCCTAGTTCTGCATTAGGCATTATCTGCTTGCAAATTATGCTCTGATCACAGTGGATCCAATCCTATTTTCGAAATCGTTGTTGTTTTTGTTCTGTTTAGCCGTCTTTTCTTGTATGCTTTTTACTCGACGGATGAAAAATGAAATCTTAGGACTTGTTCTTTTTCTTTGTCTTTTCCCATCATAGCAGGTTCACTCAGTGTGGCATTGACCGGCTTTCTTGTTCTATATGTCGATTACAAGGTTAGATATTTTACCTGACTATCACTGCTCTTTCTTAAGGAAATAGGAGAACTTACTAGTAATTGAGATTTGAATGCAATATATACACCACATGTCAATTGTAGAATGAAAGTTGTAATCTGCCAATTATTTTTCTTCCTCATCCTAAATGCCAATGACAACAATTTAACCTTATCTGGCAGCTACTATATGGAAACTAGCTAGGCACCAGTACAGAGGTATCTGCTTTGGCCAATACTATCTCGATTTGTCAGATCCTATTTATTGCCTGCTTTCAGATTCATACATTAAACTCTCAACTCTTCCCCCAGTTACCACATTATCAACAAGCAAACACATATTCCGACCAAAAAGAGAAAACAAGCAAACACATTCAAAACTCAAAGATGCTCACCATCTCAGACGAGAAACTCTTCCGCACTTGCCTCCTCACTCTCTACCTCATTGCACCACCCACCTTCATCTCCCTACGTTACATCCAAGCCCCTTATGGCAAGCACCACCGCTCGGGGTGGGGCCCCACCATCTCCCCGGCCCTTGCTTGGTTCCTCATGGAAAGCCCCACTCTTTGGCTCACGCTTTTGATATTCCCATTTGGCAGAAACTCCTCCAACCCCAGATCCCTCATTCTCATCTCCCCTTTCCTCTTTCACTACTTCCACCGAACGATCATATATCCTCTACGTATCCGATCAAGCAGTGGACAGAAAAGTACTCAACCGAATGCCGCGAATCGTTTTCCAGTCGCTGTGGCCCTCATGGCATTTGGGTTCAATCTCTTGAATGCTTACGTTCAAGCCAGGTGGGTGTCTAATTACCAGAGTGATGGTGCTGCCGGTGGGTGGTGGTATTGGGGGAGATTTTTGGTGGGGTTGGTGATATTTGTGAGTGGGATGTGGATGAACGTGTGGTCGGACATGGTGCTGGTGGGGTTAAAGAGGGAAGGGAAAGGGTATAGAGTGCCAAGAGGAGGGTTGTTCGAGTTTGTGAGCTGTCCCAATTATTTGGGAGAGATTGTGGAGTGGCTGGGATGGGCTGTGATGACATGGTCTTGGGGCGGGTTCGGGTTCTTCCTCTACACGTGCGCCAACTTGGTGCCTCGGGCTCGTGGAAACCACAGGTGGTATTTGGATAAGTTTGGGGAGGAGTACCCAAAGAGTAGGAAAGCTGTCATTCCATTCTTGTATTGATCATTCATGAGGATACTTGCAAACAGGGGAATGAAAGATATGGATGAAACTGGGAGTGATTTGTACCCAGCGTTTCTTCTTGTTAGAGCTTTTCCAAGAATGATTTGTAATCCCCCTAAATAAGGGAGTTGATATTGATCAGTGGATATTGCTTACTATGTTGTGCAATTCTGAAGTATGAACACCATTGGCAGCCTGATTTTATGTAAGTAAGAGTTGAATCTGGTCATTATTACACCCGATTTTGTTACATGCCATTGTTTTAGTTCTTGGCAAAAGCCAAAAGAAATAATTGCCATGAAATCCAATGCCATGGACTTGAAGATGGTTAACTGCCGTTTCCCTTTCTTTCTGTTTTTGGGTGTCGACGGGTCGGCGATTTTTTTTTCTTTTTCCACTCACCTGAGACTCAAATTGGAATCATTCACCTACCTGACTCTTGTGATAGAAATGGATACAGGAATCAGCATGTTGAGTTCAAAAAAGAAAAAAAAGTGACTTTCTGAGTCTTTTGGCAAGGATGATGTTCGACTTTTTTTTCTCTTCATTCTTCGCATCTAGAGGAAACTCATGCGAAAATTTATTCACACTATCGTCCTAAACGTGAGAAATAGACTGTATTCAGGGGAGATGAAAACACACGCACGCACAATATAGAAAGGAAAGTGGAGTATCCATTACTAATGATGAATATTTTGTCATATTTGCACAACATTGTCAACTAGTCGGTAAAATGATCAGAGTGTTACATAAAGATTCGTCAATTCAAAATGCTGTGTTCCGCAACGAGTTCCCTAAATCAATCTTTTACATTGGTTTAACAAAATGCCAGAAATGAATCCAAAATACTATCTCGTTGTGAATCAAAAAGAAAAGGAAGAGTCTTTTTAACATATGCCATGACTCGTACGACACTTATATAAGCGCTAATATAAATGGACAAATTGCTATACAAGGAGGGCATCATTTCACTTTGCATATGAAAGCTGCACATACAAAAAGCAAATCTCTTTTCCCCCTTACTTTAATTCGATAAATCACGTAGCGTAGCTTAATGCATCTTTTGCTAATTTAGTGTAAATCTCCTCTTCTTTTGACAGAAACTTACATGGACATTGAAATAATTTCACTCCAGTTAATTATACTTTGTGTGGGGGGGGGGGGGCAAAAACTTCACTCCTAATTTGGTAAAACTTCATACATCCTTCATAGGCTCTCCTCACTCCTCTGTGGTCAGAATTCCAACACACGCACGCGGACGGACAAGAGGCCGAGCTCCGAGGTCTCTCTGTCCAATGGCGTTTCCCTTATCGCCTTCCGCCTCCCTCCGCCTAAAACCCTTCTCCACCCTCCGCATCCTCTCCCTCTGCTCCAGTTCCTTCTCAAAGTCCCGGCCTTTCCCTCTCCCCGCCGCCGTCGCCGCCGCCCCCCGCCGCCCCTTCCCTCCCTCCGCCGCCCCGCTCCGGGCATGCTTCTGCACCGCGATCGCCGCCGCTCTCCGGTCCGGCGAGGCGGTCGAGGCCAGGAAACCGGAGCCCGCGGATCCTCCGAGGGGCGAGTTCGGCGGTAGAGTCGGCGAGTTCAGGAAAAGGTTGAGGATTTCGGAGATTAAGGGCGGCGCCGACGAAGGGTTGGGCCTAGTCGGGCGGACGCTGACGGTCATGGGCTGGGTTCGGACCCTTCGTGCTCAGAGTAGCGTCACGTTCATCGAGGTAATGAATGATTCCGTCGGTGAACTTTTGGTTCGTTTCATTGCTTGTTTATTTTGTGGGAAATGGGAATGTTGAGTTCCATGGAGTATTCTATCATTGGTGAATTGAAGCTTTAGTTATTACTTTTTCTTATAGCTAAGCTCGTAAAGCACAGCATTTGCAGGATCACTTCAGAAGGAAACAAAAGGAGTTTAGTATCTCGGATTCTATTAAAAGATTTATTTTTTAAGCTAATATATGATAACATCATAATGCTTGAATCCATTTGTGCCGCGGATGCTTTGTATGGGTTAAGTGTTCAGTGTAATTTTGATGGTGAATTGGTTTTCTCTTCCATTTCCGATGTAGGTTAATGATGGTTCCTGCCTCTCAAATATGCAATGTGTTGTGGATTCGGATGCTGAAGGTTATGATCAGGTAGCCCCACAAGCAATAAAATTTTTGGTTTACATACATTGTGCTAGCTTCATGAGATCGGGAAACTCTCATGCTTCATTTTATCGTGCAGTTATTTTCATGATTATGCTGCATATTTTTTTTTAAAGGAAAAGGTTTCACATGAGACTAGGGCGATATATGCACTTCTTTAAAGGCATCTCAGAGGTGTGTTTGGTTAATTTCTGGGGTAAAATCATAGGTAGAATCTAGCTTGGTGTCAACCGGTGCATCAATATGGATACAAGGGATCCTTGTCGCCAGCCAAGGATCAAAGCAGAAGGTGGAATTGAAGGTCAAAAAAATTATGTTGGTATGGAGCTATCAGAATTCTTTAATATGTTATATGTAAAGTGATCCAATTTCATCACTTCTGCTCAATTTTTTAGCTAAATCAGCGACGCTGTTGTGCTCATAGTTTTCTTGACAGCTTGGCAAGAGCGATCCTTCCTATCCCATTCAAAAGAAAAGGGTTAGCAGGGAGTTTCTAAGAACAAAGGCTCATCTTCGCCCCAGAACAAACACATTTGGTGCGGTAAGAATCTGCTTCTTGTGATTAATAATGCATTATAGCTCCAAGCTTACTGCTCGATGTAATAGCATGTAGAAAATTGGCAGATGTTGTAATGTCCTCCTATCATTTGTATTCCCTCTTCGGTTCACTTTTTTATCGTTATCCGCCCCGTGAGTTCCTCTCGGCAATTTCCATACGGTTTTTAATATGGGTTACTTTGGATCTCTTTCTACTGCTTTTTTATTCAGCCTTGAATTTATAAAAATGTACTTTGGAATTGATTGGGCTGAAAGCATCATTCTCTGTGGTATTATGATTGTTTGAATTTGTATCAATAGTAGATTTAGTACCCATTTTTGTAGAATTCCATTGATACTTTTGATTTTCGAGAATTATTGGGATGGGACAAAACTTTAAAGTTAAGAGCTATAGAAGCAATGCACCCCTCACTTCCTTCTGGGAAGTCGACTGCACCTCCTGGTTTTTAAAGTTTGCTAGATGTTCTGTTGGAATTTGTGCAGCTTTTTTAACACAGAAGCAGTGTCGAAAAGCACATCAAACATGTTATTGCAACTACTTTTCATTTGATTTCTCGTTATAAATTAGTTTCTTGTGCTGCACGGTATCCTTAAAACAAAGATAGTTGGTTATACTTTTTGTGAGATCTCGTCCAAAACATTTGGAGAAAAGAGTGATTTATTCAAGAATGTTCTAAGAACAAACTTTAATCCCATTGGGATTTGCTTGTTTTAGCCACACGTTTAGGATTATGTCGATGTTGTTCCTTGATTTCCAGTTCAAGATGAGAATGTTCAACTCCATTGATGATGTCAAATATAATAATTCCGGTATCGTGATCAAGTTCCTTTTTTAAAATAGATACTTGATATAGGATGTGCTAGTTGACTTAGACAAACTATGAACTAATTTCTTTAATTCTTAGATATTGATGTTTCACTTTTGCAAGAAGCAAGCTTTTATTTTTCTTGTCTACTCTTGTTGAATATCTTGGTTTCAATCGAACTTGATGGCATTGATATAGTGAGATCTTGCAATTATTCAATTTCATGCTCTTACATGCATCATTTGACTGGAATTTATGATGTTGCAAATATTTTAAAGCATCTATTTTCTTCTTCAACTCTCTCCGAGTCTAGGTTGCCAGAGTCAGGAATGCTTTGGCCTATGCTACGCATAAATTTTTTCAAGAAAATGGATTTGTTTGGGTGTCAAGTCCCATTATCACAGCTTCTGACTGTGAAGGAGCAGGAGAACAGTTTTGTGTCACTACTTTGGTATGTATCCTTCTTTAATATTTCGCATATTACAAAAATATGTTCTGCAGTTTATAATGTTATTGTCTATTGCATCCACAGATTCCAAGTTCAGGAGAAGCCACCGCTTCTCCCATCGATGTCATTCCAAAGACTGAAAATGGTTTAATAGATTGGTCACAAGTGAGTTGACTTGCTATTTGGAGATAATATTTTGAAAGGGCTAATCAATGCCCCAATCTGTGGCATACGTGTTTGTTGTCTCCGTATTTGCTAAGTGCTTTCTTTTTTAGCATGATTCTTTCTTTTAATTTCCTTGTGCAACATGTCAGGATTTTTTCGGGAAGCCAGCATTCTTGACTGTCTCTGGCCAACTCAATGCCGAAACATATGCTACTGCTCTCTCCGATGTATGTTTTCATCCTCTCCTCCCTATCAGCATTAAATTTGCGGAAGTAACAGCATGTGTTCATTATATTTGTAGGTGTATACATTTGGACCCACTTTTCGAGCTGAAAATTCTAACACGGCAAGGCATTTGGCTGAATTTTGGGTGAGAAGAGTCTGTTTTCGCTTTCCATTTGTTATTGGAAACAACTCTTTAAGATCATCTTTATTAATAGCTTTGAAATTTGTGTCTGTCCTGTAGATGATTGAACCTGAACTTGCCTTTGCTGATCTGGATGATGACATGGCCTGTGCAACAGCCTATCTCCAGTATGTAGTATGTTACCTTTTCACTTGCCTTTCCTAGTGGGAGCTCTTCTATATGAAGATTTTGTTTCTGGATATTCCTCTAACGAATGCTTTTATCTGTTAAAGGTGAGGCATGTACTTGAAAATTGCCAGGAAGATATGGAATTCTTTAATACCTGGATTGAGAAAGGAATAATCGACCGACTGACGGTATGAGTTATTATTGATGAAGACATATTTGTTTTTCGTGTAGATTTGATGCATTTGATGGTGAAGTGTTTCGGACTAAGGTGTATGGTCTGATGTGTAGGAGATCAATTCTTTGCTTTGCAGGATGTAGTTAATAAAGACTTTGTGCAATTGACTTATACTGATGCTATTGAATTACTTGTCAAATCCAAGAAGAAGTTTGAATTCCCGGTAATTCTCTTTCTTATGCTAAAATAGATCATATTTTTCCATCGTTTAGCTTAACTGTATCTAAAGAGTTTAAAAAAGTATCTTCCCTAGTTAGAAAAGCTTAGCATCATGGAACTCCTTTTTCTTTTAAAACTTTTTTAAACTGAAACACTGCAGAATGATCTTTTCTTGTTATAGAGTGGTTTCACTTCGCTGTTTTATAGGTGAAATGGGGATGCGATTTGCAAAGCGAGCATGAGCGTTATATCACGGAACAGGTCTTTCATGGATGCCCAGTAATCATCAGAGATTATCCGAAGGCATGAGCCATATTCCCCCTGCATTCTTTCTGCTTAAGCATACCCCTGCCCCGCCGGCCCCGCGCCTCCCCACCCAAAAAAAAAAAATCACTTTTCATCCTGCATAATTTCTGTGCATTGTGTTTGCCTATGAAATGAGCATTAATGCACCGAAGTTTCTTTATACTTGATGATTTAGGATATTAAAGCATTTTATATGCGGCAAAATGACGATGGAAGGACAGTTGCTGCTATGGATATGTTGGTTCCTCGGGTAAACTCAACTACTTCCTTTTCTCTTCTATCATATGCCCTTCCTGATTTAAGTCTGCTGGGGGACCAGTTTTAACAGGCATGAGGTGATGAGCATGGCTGATTAATCCACGCAATGAAAATGGAGCCATTAAGGGGTTGGCCCACAGAAAATTGAGATAAAAAGAAAAGGAGGAGAAAAAGAGAACCAAGGCCAAGGGTTCCTCAGTTGCTTAGAACCACCCTTTCCTTGGCCTCAGTCCTTATGCCCAGGTCTGAGTCTTACCATTAGATTTCCCACCTTTACGTATTTGAAGGGAGAAAAGTGAAAATAAGTTAGTTTCTCTCCGTAAAATAGAACCATCAGTTATAAAGTTCTCTAAAATTCGGATATTCAGGAAAAGTGACTTGTACCACCTTACCCAAGGATCAATAGGTTATTCGTGTTCCTGCAATTCTAGCACATTTCTTGTTTCGTAGTTTAAGTGACTCTTGGATGTGTACTGTAACTCGGATGACTAATCAGCATTTCCATTGGAGAGAACACATGAATGAATTTTAGATAATTTCTGTCCACATATCACTAAGTCTTAGCCAAGTTGATGTAAAATCAGCATAAACCGATATGATTACTGGAATATATATAAAACAAATGCCAACAATGGGTCATTCTACAGCCAAATTTTTTCCAAGCCATACCTCTTCACAGATGGGGGTGGGTATAAAGTTGTTTCTGAGCTTTCATGTCTAGTCTAGCTTTTCCTCTTTGTAGTCTCATTAAATGCCGACTCTTTTGCAGATTGGTGAGCTTGTTGGAGGAAGCCAAAGAGAAGAAAGGCTCGAGTATCTGGAAGCTCGTCTAGATGACTTGAAGCTGAATAAAGAGAGCTACTGGTGGTATCTTGATTTGCGCCGCTATGGTTCAGGTGAGTGAGTTTCTGTTTAATCATATATTCTGATGTCGAAAGCAGGCAATTTTAATCAACCATGATTGAAAACTGCGGCTTTTCATCCTCATGTGGCAGTTCCTCATGCGGGATTTGGGTTGGGCTTCGAGAGGCTTGTGCAGTTTGCCACCGGCATAGAGAACATAAGAGATGTGATACCTTTTCCTCGGACGCCCGGTTCATCCGAGTTCTAGCAGGATTATTCTTTTCTCGTGTTGTTACCGAGTTGGAGCTCAAGTTTCTCTGTTTTGACTTCTAAACTAGATAGTCTTTTTGAAGTTTAAACTTGAAAGTCGTTGTATATATATCATTCTTTAAGTGGCCTACCGATGCCATGTTCATTGCATTTGCAATTGCAATTTGGCCCTAGGCTCAATAAGGGTGAGGATCTCTGTAGAGGAAGTGCCCTCAGGAACGTGAATTATCTTTTGCGTCTGACCATTATAATCCATTCCGTTGAATTTAGGCCAAAAAGAAAAGGCTAGCCTCGTTTACTCTTAATCGCCTGCTTGGTGATTAGTCGTCGGCAGACATCAGTGAGCTGATCCTCATAAGCAGGCTTGTGAAATTGTTGTCAAGCATGCAGTGAGTATTAAGTTAGCACACCATTTGCCATTTATAGTAGGCCTTAGATACGCTCGATTATGTGTTCGGGAAGACGTAATTTCAGATCTGACAGATGTTTTTTGGGTGGGTGACGCACCACAATGGCGAAGACGGGTGATGTTGTGGTAGGAGGGAAATTGGCCCCTCTGAGCTTGACTAAGATGCATCATGATGTTTTCGCCTGTTTGAAACTTTTGCGTCTCTGAAACCAGCAAGCAGCGAAGCAAGCTACCGGAATAAAAGAAATCAAAGTTTCAGAAAAGTGACGAAGAGAGCATAAAGAAAGTACCTGATGCGCAATTAATTTGGTGCATCAATCTAACTACGAGAAAATTCTGACTAACATTGGCTAAGCAAAACAAACTTAAGATCTGTGTTACTTTTCTCTCAAAATGAAAAGAATAGAAAAAAGAAAAATACAGCGTCTATGGCAGATCGACTCTATATTTCAGTAGAGCATCGGAATAGGCCCAAAAAACAGTTACAAAAGAAGAAACCACCAAGCCATCTTTACGCTTTTACAATTCAGCAAGGCTCTCCTTCCTCCTTGTGAACTATCTCCTTTCAGGGACTATCTGTTTCCAAATAAATGAACAAATGAACTATACAAAGCCGCCCCTGCAGACTTTTCTATTCTTTGTATATATAGAAACCCATCCCTCGTGCTAATATCAATAGATAATTAAGGAAATTTATCAAGCCTTTAACTGTGAAGAATACCTCGGTATAGATCCACTTTGTAAAGTGCCGGCGTAGGTGGTCCAGATCCAGTGCTTCGAACATCTAAAGCTATTCAAGATACTACAGGAGCTGGCTTGTGTGACCTTTCATCATTTATATAAAGATGAAGCGGCAATGGAACTCAGATTGATCACACAAAACAAAACTTGAATATTTACATGTTCCAACTCTCTGCTCAGAGTTCTTCCAACTGGAAAGTTTCTGCTCAAAGTTCCACTTCGTGAAGGTCATCCGCAAAACCTCCACCATTCATTGGCATGGGCATCGAAGTAGGATTGCTCGGCACATAAGCCGAAGGAGGCATGCCCAATGCCTCACCTAGAGGTTTTACCCCCACATTCTTAGGTGGATGCAATGCATCGTTGAAGCTTCCACTCCATGATGCTGTTCGGCGCGAGTGAGATTCGAAAGAACCGTTTTCATTTGACGTAGTCACTTTGCTTGGGATGTTACCCATGCTTGGGAACCTTTGCATGGCTGTCGAAGGAGGTACAGAAGTCTTGAATAAGTCATAGGCAGAGGATGTCGAAGGTTCTTCCGTAGTTGAGGTTTCCTCTTGTGCACTTTCAGCTATGGCCTCCATGGTATGGTCACCTGATGATACTACTTGGGTTGGAATGAAAAACTTTGCATTGGCAGCGACGGCAGGTTTAACCGCTGGCACAGATGGTGACTTGAATAAGTTTGCAGGGCTACCACCACCTTGGTTGAAGGTGTCAACATACCTGTCAAATCAACACAAAAAGGTTTTACCTGGTTGTTATAAAAGTGGACTAAAAGGAACGAAATCCATCAGTTTCTAAAGGCCAAAAAAAATTATCCATCAGCATTCACTGTCCAGAATGATTTTACGTGAAAGAAACAATGATGAAATATCAACCACACTCATTGTTAGAATAAGATAGTCATCCAACAAACTCATGTCCTCTGACAACAGCAATAACATTAAGTCGTTACAAAAATGGTCCGTTCAAGAAAAAAAAAGCACTGTGGAGTAATCATTTATATATAACTAAGAAAGTACCTTGATCTAACACCCATACGCCCTCGAGCTGAGAACTGATTCGAGCTGGGTGGAATAGGCGGAATTCCTGAGGTGTGGTCTGAAGGTGTTGGACTTGTAAAGTCTGGACTTCCGTTGGGGACAAGTCCTTCACTCTTCAGTGCTGACTTCAGGTTGTAGTCAGGCATTCCGTTCTGGAATGCTGCGGTTGTGGGAGGAGGAGCCAAGGCAGGTTCCTCAGCAGGAGGATCAGCACCTTCCTCTACCCATCTCTTTAGCTTCTCGTCATAGTAAAACTTATTCGTTTCGCCCAGTTTAGCCTTCAGATTAAATGGCAGACGACAGAACAGTCAGATCAGTTGCAGATATTGCTAATACAAAAGATTTAGCATGACATTAGTGCTAAACCAAAGTACCTGACGATCTGAGCGTGGTCTCAACACTAGCCCCACAGTCTTCTGTAAAAGCTGCGAGCCGAAACCAAATCTACCAAAGCGGGATGTCCTCTCTGACGCTGAAGCCTTGCCCTGAGCATTAGCCGAGGTTATTTCATTTGAGGAATCAACCTGATCAGAACTTAAAGTAGCATCAGAAACATTGCAACTTCAACATTAACAGGAGATTTGAAGCAAAAAGCAGAACGCTCCAGAAAGTTAATTGCAAATACCCAAACCTGTCTTGGGGTCCTCCCAAAATCTGGTTCTGAGACACTTCTGTTTTGCATTGTCATTTTGCTGCTATCAGCCGGCCACTCCATTGAAGCAGATGGTATTAAAGATGACATGGTCATTGTTGATTGACTACTCAAAACTTTAGTAGCCACTGGCTGTTGGAATTGTTCAATACCTTGAATACTTGCTTGAGACGTTGATGGTGCAGGGGGTGGTAACCCCCCAACAACCCGATGCGCAGTATTGTCAAAAAAATTGAGCAATTTACCAACTAACTTTGCGGGAGCCATGTTTGCTGAATACCCACCCTACAAACAGGTTGTCTGTCAAAATGGTGATCGTGATAAATAGCCATTACTTACTCGTAATTTAACCAGTCGATGAATGGGACCTCGGTCTATTAACTAGCTATGTGGTGTACGGTCTAAACTAACCAAACTCACCTGTTGATGGGCTCTAATCCTCTCCTCAAGAGATAAAACCGCTTGCTTCCACATATCTACTTCAGGGGCTCGCCCAGTTTTCAGAGATTTCGATAGCGCTTGGCAGTACCTTAAAGACCGTGCTACATTAGACTAAATGCTGTTAAAAATGTTAAAATAACAGGAAAAGGTCCGATGCTTACTTCAGTGAGTCAGAAACTTTTCCCACTTCAGCTAACATATAGGCATATATGAGCTTATATGGCTGGAAGGGTAGCAGGATAAACTGAGAGTTTCCTAGCACTTTTGAATATTCATATAACTCCGTCCTCTGTCCAAAAAACATGGCATGATAAGCTTCACTCATTAAATTCAATTTTCTCACGCTGACAAGATAAAGCAGAGGTGCAAGACTTAGTGTTTATGGTTACATAATAGGAATCTATTTGTCACGACTAATGATTCAAAATCGTCTTAGCCTCCTCTAAGAAGCGCATCAGATCAACTCTGATCTAAGGCATCACAGGGGTAGCAGCCTAAAAAATGTTCATCTCTCCCACAACATTTGTTGCACCAACATCTAAATATCATAATCACAAAGATAGGATCAACCAACGCATTCTTATATAATAAATACGATATCCAACAAGTTCAGAGCCACAGAAAATGTAGCAATGGCTGCATCTGCATCAGTATTGTTGAAAATTTGCTCAAACTCCCCTCTAAACAGCCAAAAGTCAACACTTTCTGAACAGGCACTACTCAAGTAAACAACAGGGCAACAGACAAACTCAAGATGAGCAATGCCATGCAAGATCTAAAAAGGATCTCGAAGCATAAACAAGCCTTCGCCTTGACCATACCTACTGCTTTTGTTAGAACTCTCTCTCTCGCTCTCTGCCCATTTTACATGCCTGCCGACTGTTTTTGTGCGTGCGTGTGTCCTATACTTCCTACCTAATATGAACCACATACAGATAGGCATTAGAAGGAAACCTGTTCCATCCACCTCTTATTCTACCACAAACACATCAAGAAACACAGTGGAGTTCACTATTCTAGGAAATGATCAACATTTCTCATTTCTACAACTGTCGGAATGCATAAATTCAAATCTCTCCTTTCTGAAACAAGATTAACACTAGTCCTGTAAATCAAAGCCCAAGCAAGATATTATGGATGAATAACTAAAAGTAAAAATCACTAGTGCTATGCAAAATTCTCGTCAAAATAGTGCAAGAGATTCTAGTACCCTGATTATATCAAAAGCCAGGAAAGACAAGGATTTTGTGCAAGTTCCAAGCATCTTAATCATGATTTCTTCTGCCAATAAACCTCAACATGGCATCACATTTGTTTAAGGTAGATCTAACAAGATAAAATAGTCAACAGACCTCACAAAAAAAGCAAACAAGAAGAAGGTGGGAAAATAAATAAATAAGCTGCATAGCATGCATATGGCCAACAAAGAGTACAAGACTAGAGACTGAGGTAATCTATTAGTCATAAGAAGTTTATACAGCAACATCACAAAAGATCACCAGTACGCCTGTACCTCCAAGAATTTATGCAACATCATTTCCAGAACACTCATTTAAAGAACATGCAGTCCACTGAATGAATCATGGCATAAAAAAATGAAACAACAATAAAAAGCTGACAGCTAAATGAGACAGTAATACCTGTATAGACCCTGGACTAGCGTAAGTTCGTGGACATTTCCAGTGATCTGCTCCCACAAGGCACAGTCTTGCAGTATCTGAATATGACTCAAAATTTGCTTCGGCCACAAGATAGCATATATGTGCTGCAATAATCTGAACCATAGTTCTTGTGTAAAGGCTCAATGGCAATGATTCTTGCCTAAGACTCAATTGTAAATCTCTCATTCCTGTATGCAGGGAATAAAAGAAATGCTAACATGCATACCTCACTTTTTTCCTTCCATAGGGAATCCCCAAGGTGAATAATCACAAGTTCGTCATCTTTGGTTCTGTTTGCAGCAATTACAGCCAGATTTTCCTCCCAGTCCTCAAGCATTCCATTGGGCCGAGGCTGCAGAAGAAAGCAAAATATGAGTTAATTTTGTACAGATCATAATTAAATTTATAGAGTCAGTTCCTTTTTAATTGCAAATATCAACAGATATGATGCCCATGTCTCCCAACAGAGATACACTGTCAACTGTGAAGATATCACAATGAGATCAATTCAGTCATAACTAATCCAAGAGCATTCGCTCTTTATAATGATATAAATTAGGTGCATTTCCTACAATAAAAACTAGGAAAATTCACCAGACACAAGGTAAAAAAACATGCATAATAAGTTTCAGGACCAACTAAAGATAGAATAACCACCCAAACACACCTGAGCAGGACGTTGAGACATAATCGTGGTAACAGGAGCACTAGCGGGGGTGGTGTCTGCTGAAAAGACTTCAGCCGGTTGACCTGCAATTAGCAAGCACAATGTCCGCAACGGTGATCCAGGTACCATCTGTACGAGTGCCATTTGCTTTACAGTATCAACGTAAAACTGCAAGAAGCCAATTCCAATCCAAGAACCAGAAATACAGCCAAGCATTAGCCACCCAAGATGTGCATCAGTAGAAGAAAGAAAGGAAAAACAACATGAAAGGACCACCTCACCTGATCCCCCAATTGTGAGGCAAGTATAAGGGCTGGTCCCCACAACTGACCTTCTTGTGCGCACTGTAGAGCCTCTTTTTTTCTTCCAGAAACAAGAAGATTCTGCACCTCAGAGGCAGTCGCCTACCAAAAACATCCAAGATCATTTAAAGAACATGAGATTGCTGCTCAAGGTGGAAAAAATGAAAAAAGGTTTGAGAAATTAGCACACCTGAATTTGTTCAGGAGAAGGTAAAAACTGCAAGCAGCGGTTTTCAGAATTATAACCTCCAAATGGTCCATTAGTTTTCTTAGAAGACGCAAAAAGTTTGGCAACTGCTGTTTCAGGACTATCACCTTCCTGTTAGCACGAAAAGATTGACAGGTACCATCTTAATTGTCCAGTATATGATAACACTGAAAATGCAAGGACCCAAAACAGAAAAGAGGAAATATAAAATCAAAGTTATGAAAAAGAACGAGAGTGATAACATTCTCAAACTATGCCACAAACTTCTGATTGAGCATTCCCATCTCCCGCTCAGACTTCTCAGCAAATTAATCACATGAAACCATGTCTAGATGAAAGATATCAATATTTGGAAATTTTTCCAGTAGAGAAACTGACTAAAAATTTAAGCCAGAAGATATGCCATTTTTCTAAATAAAAAGGAACCAAAGCATGGAATATGTACGTACATAAAAACCCTACGCAATGTATTTCTTTAAAGTATACCTACTGCGTCACATGAGATTTAGTTGCTTTTAGAGGAAGCGAGACAACCAATTTTGAAGATCTCAAATTTAAAGAAAAGCTGCCAACCCACAGTTGATCGAGAGAAGAAAAAGCAGAGCAAGAAGCATAAACTTGAAAATACTTTCTTCGTAACAATTTCCTGGCAAAGTATGTAAAGGATGATGTGCATAAACTTCATAGAAATGATAAAATTATCCAAAACAAAGAACTAAAGTTGATAGCAGGTCTGAACAAAATTTACCTTAAAGGCTGTTTCGGTGCCAAAAGGAGATCGAAGTTTACCATAATGCTGACAGGCTATCTTCAGCAAAGACAGAAGCAACTTCAAAGCCTCTGCTTTTTTGTAATCCATATCTGGAGATTCACAGTTCGCAATCCTTTCGTCCATCCATTTGTTCAACTCTTTACTTCCAACACTTCCACCAACTAGAGGACCAGGAAAGGATTGTTGGCACAAAGCATGCAAATAGTTGCAAGCACCAAATCCATTGCCAGAAGCATCATTCTTCTTTTGGAATACTTCAATTATGTTGAGGACAGCAATTGAGCTCCCAGAAGAATCCTTCACACCAAAACGAGGGAAAACAACAAAAAGTGAGTGCTTTTTTCAAGCGAGAGTAGCATGATATTAAATATCAAACTATATCTGAAGGATCTCTAAAATGAATATACTTCAACAGCAAAACACAATCCAGAGGAATTTCAGGAACATAATTTTTCTTCAAAGTATAGAACCATAAAAAAGAGGGGTAATATCCCTTTCAGCTTCCCTAAACCAAATTAACTGAAGGAGAAGTCTAAAGACAGACCTGGCCTCCATATGATGGATTACTGGCAAAAGTTGCATCTTTCATTACTATGAGTTTCCCACCAAATCCAAAAGTAACTAACGCATGGGCAGGACGCCCTGCCGAAGATAGTCCTACGTTAGACGCTGGAGTAAACTGATGAGTACCCTGAAAAGATTGCTGGTAAAAATTTACTGGCTTCTGATTGGCATACAAATCATTGGAGAAATGCAGTTGATCATGCTGCTCAACCATTGCCTGATTGAATGGTTGACTGGGGATAAAGCTCTGTGATCCAAAAGCCCCCTGAACCTCACTCTTATTCCAGCCCGATTTTCCATGTGATTCAACTGCCCCAAAAGAATTAAATGAATTCTGTGGATTGATGTGGTTGTTTGCAGCAACTTCGGAGCCATACAGAGTGTCGAATTGCTGTTGTCCTCCAAAATTTGAAATTGCATCGCTTTTTGCGACTGTTCCTAATTGCCGTGTATCATTCCTGCTCGGTTGACTGTATTCACTATATGACCCATCCCAATGACCATCCTGGCTTTGACCAACATTAATCTGTGACCCATAATTGTTAGCCTGCCCGTAGTCACCATGAACACTATTATGAGCTTGACTTGTTACATCAGTGGCAATCGATCCATCTTGATTCTGGTAACCATGACCTTGACCTGATGATTGTAAAGAAGAAGTATAACTCTCTAGTGTACGCCATTCTTGGGCAATCATATCATAATACCAACCAGGGTACTGAGGATCAAATACCATATGATCCGGATAGCCGTTATTCCCCTCCGAAACCTGATTCATACTATAGACACTCTCAGTTGTCCCAGCCTCCGCAGCAGTTCCCACGATAGACTGAGCAGTTTGTTGCAAATAAGAAACCTCTGATGTTCCATCAGAACTAGCAGGCCATTCCTGAACTGCAGTATTACCAGAGTTCCCTTGGAGATTCATATTGGGGTTGTAACCATCCACTTGATACCACTGTCCGGTATTGGAGTCATATTTCCACCCCGGATATAAATTTTCCCAATACTGACTACCACTAAGATCGTGCACATTAGCGGTTTGGTCATCACCAGCCCCATAGCCTTGGTCCTGCTGATACTGTGCATAATGTGCAGAGTTTTCCAATCCATCGGCCTGATTTTCGGCACTACCTGCTGCAATTACTGACTCATGGTTTGAATCCTCCGGAAAATTACCAGAGAACTCCCCACCACTATTGTCCAAGCTAGTGAAAAAATCGGAGTAGGATCCAAACCCATGGCCCTGGGTATGCTCAACGGCCTCTGCATGAAATGAGCTCCATCCCACTTCCTTGATTCCCTTACCAGATCCACCATCCTTTTCCTTCACTGGATCAACCAAATCTTGAGACCCAGTGCCGTTATCATTAGACTCGATCAGACTGTCAAACTCGAACGAATTGGCCGATGCCAATGCACTGCTCTCACCTGCGGCCACACTCAACGATCCTGAAGCGGCATCCAAATGATATCTGCTCCCCATTGCATCGTGCCCACTTCCATCATTCAAACTCTCCACGGCCGCACCTTTGATCGGCTCCGCACCAACTGCAGAACTGAGATCAAACGAGTTTGGAGGCAGAAGAGCCTTCTTCTCACCTGCAGGTGGCGCGACCTGATCCGCCACTCCAAAATCGGCAGAATCCTCTCTATTCAGCTTCGGATCAGCTCCTTCGCCCGAATCTACAATGCTCAAATTAGAAAATTTCCTCGCCGCATCGGAGCCAGAGGCGGAGGCCGATCCCGGAGGGGCAAAATCATCGTCATCATCCACCAATTTTTCGAAGAAGTCCTCGTCGGTCTGATCCTCCATCTCAAATGGAGGATTGCTAGCCATCGAACCCAAACAAGGGAAACCCTAAACCTCGGCGATCCCCCTCAATCCCCCACCCAAAAAAAACAGGCCACCACCCCCGCCCGAATTACCCTCGGAATCCGGATCGAAACGGCGGCTGCCCCGGCAATCAGAAAACGTCGGCTTCCGGGGCCGTAACGATCGCCGCGGCGGCGGCGACAACCCCCGAGATCCAACCGGGCACGCGCAATCTCACCTCGGAACCGACGGATTGCGATCGCCCGACACCGAATCGCGGGCACAGGGGACCTCGAATTGGGAAGATCTAGGGCTCCTGGAGGCCCTCCGATGCCGGCGCCGTTTCCTGACGGGACGCCTCGAGGATGCGCGGGATCGGACTTGAGATCAACGCATTCAGCATGACGCCCGAAAAGGGGAAAACGGAGAAGGAAACCGAGAATTCAGCTGACGGGAAGAAGAAGAAGCAGCAGCAGCAGCAGCAGAGGAAGAAGAAGAAGAAGAAGAAGAAGTCACTTCATTGAGGTTGAGACTCGCAGAGAGACGGAGAGAGAGAGTTTCGCATTCAGCCAGCCCCCCCACCCGGAAAACCAAAAGGCCTCCTGAGTCAATTTTTTCTTTGTTTTATTTTTTTTTTCGGGTTTATATTCGTTTGATTTTTGGAAGGTATATTTAATTTTTTTTTATTTCTGCCCCAAATTTCACTGCGACGCTGTTTTTTGACCTTCTTCTTTTCTTTTTTTTTTCTTTTCGATAGTCCTAAAACTTACCGTGGAAGTGTAATTGAGTCCTCAAGCTTTCGAAATGTACAATTAAATCCTAAAATTTGTTAGTATTTTCTATTTGTCATATTAGACGGAGCTAATGGAAGAACTCGATTGTGCCGACTTGACAATCTTTAGGACTTCATTGCACTTTTTGAATGATTTAGGACTCGATTGTATTTTTGTGACAAGTTTGTGGACTTTCAATACACTTATCCCTTTTTCATTTCATTTTTCCCCTTGATTTCTTTCTCTACTTACTTTTTCTCTTCTTCTTATTTCATTACTCAATTTGTCCATTTTACTATACCCACGATCAGTTGTGCCATACCTATCTCAATTAATCCTCAACATGACAATCTCTAATATGATACGCATCGGTTATTAGGTAATCATGTGGCCCCGAGAGGATGAAGGGATGATGTTAAAAAATCGACGATCAACAAGTACAAACATATACCACTCGAGATTTCGATTCCTCTTATTAACTAATGGCGAATCTCAAATCGGTTTGAGTTGAACGATGAACGATGAAGTAAATAGCTCAAAATTCAATTATCTAAAGAAGAAATTCACAATTTTCGAACAAGTAAAGTAATCTCTCAAGGGTCAAAGACATAGTAGGTTTGGAAACTTTTCCAACTATCTCAAGTCATTCTTGAACTTTTTTGTGTAATCGAATCTTTAAAGGATTTTTGCAAACAAGTCTTTGTGGGGCAGTTTTTAAATCTTCAAATAACAAAAATTCTTCATCTTCCAAGTACGGTTCTTCTAGTACTATGGATAATCAATGACTGAAAATGTACATCTTGTTATTATTATTTATAGTTAAAAATAATTGAGAGTATTTATTAACACGACTCTTTTTTTAATTATGTGCTTGTTAGTCCGATTATGTTATCCTCTCTTACATGAAAATGATGACATGATCGTCCTTCCAAATCAGCATGTTACTTTAAGTAATTACTGATGTGGAATGAACAAAAGAAACAAAAAAAGGACAAAAGAACACCGATCAGAGAGGGAGGAGGGGGAGATGGGGAAGAGAGGTTGAAGGGAGGCAGATGGCTAACAAGGACCAGCAATGCACGGGCACATGCTTCCACCTAACAATGAAGTTGAAAATTAATTGCATGCATTTGGCATTTTCCCATGTTGTCTTGTGTATATTAGGTGCTTTTGTCTTTAATAAACCTAAAAAAAAAACTTCCATTTTAATGCGTTAAAACATGTTGTAACGAATTATAAAAATTTAAAAATAATTCATATATCAATTATCTTCCTCACATTTCACTGTCATGCCACTAACCTCCTCTGGTTTTATAAAAAATACAAGCTTTAGCAAACTTATCCACCTAATTACTGTAATACCGTTTCCCTTTCTCAAAATACCCTTATCATGTCCCATCCGCCAACAAACAAATCCATTCCCCATATCCGACGCTCGGCCCATTAGTTTATCCAATGCCCCGGATGGCACGGGGCGGGATCGATCTCACAGATGTTGCTCGTGGACCGATAACTGATGTTATCACTGCTCTTCCTGCTTGATTCGGCTCTCACTTTGTTGGAGCTCCAGCCCCCGTGCGCCGGATCGTCATCGACGAAGACGACGTCAGTGGCGTCGGAGGAGGAGATCAACGAGTGGGCTGAGGATGACAACTTGGTCGTGAGTGAGTCCGCTGTTTCGAGGGGACTCGTGTGACTTAGGAGTATGTTTCGGAACTCATCCTCCAGTCTCGCCATTGCAATTCGGACTGTGGAGCTGACCTTGTCACCCTGCTCGTCGCCTCCTCTGCTGTCCAATAAACTGACCGCCAACATTGAGCGGTGGAGCTTGTCCACAGCGCAAAGGTTGCTGTCGATCTATTCGCGATTGACCTCAAAGATCATCTTCTCCCTAGTGTCCTCCCCGGAGGCCATGCTTCAGAACCAGGTCCTATAACCGAGTCACTAGCACTCGACTCAGGCCCATCGAGGCCAAGCTCTGTTCCTTGATGGCTCGGTCAATGTCCACAGAGGCTGGCCCAAGTCCCTCAAGGCTAAGTTAAATCTGGATGCCTGTGCCCGGGTTCCCGCGGACATGCCTGAGTATCTGACTCTCGTACCCACGTCATTAGTGCCCGGCTCGAGTCCATCAAGACAAGCCTATGTACATCGAGGATGGGCCTATTCCTTAGTGACCAAGCCCAAGTCCACAGAGGTCGAGCCTAGGTCTCTCAAGCTAGAGCTAAACCTTGGTGCCCATCCCCGACTCCTCGAAGGCCAATCCGGGGTCCCTTGAGGTCGATCCTTGTTGCTCGGCGATGGGCTTGGGACACCATATGCTCGAGTCGCCAATGGCCATGCTCGAGGTACTCAACTCACATGTCCAAGGCACTTGTGACCAGCCCAATTCCATCGGGGTCAGGCCTAGTTCCTCGGTAGCTTGACCCAAGTCCAAGCTCCTCGAGGTTGGGCCCAAGACCTTGGTGCCCAAGTCCACAATGGTCGGGCTCGGATCCCTCAAGGCTCGGCCCTGGTCCCAGGTTCCTTAAGGTCAAGCCCGAGACCTTGATGCCCAAGTCCACAGAGGTCGGGCCCGGATCCTTCAAGGCTCAGCCCGAGACCTCAGTCCTTGTGCTCGAGTCCCTAGCGGCCATGCCTAGCTACTCGGCTCTTGCGTCCAAGTCACTAGCACCTTGTCCGATCCATTGAGGCAGGCCTAAGTCCAACGAGGCCAAGCTCGGTTCCCTAGCGACAACCCAACTCCTCGCCAGAGTCACTAGCGTTCGACTCAAGTCCATTATGGCTGGGCCCGATTCCTCCCCTCCACAAAGAGAGGGAGTAGGTCCCACAATACTGGGCCTAAAACTTCGATGCCCATGCCTAAGTCCACAAAGGCCGTGCCTGGGTCCCTTAAGGCCGAGCTCGGGAACTTGGTGCCTATGCTCGGGTTGCCAGTGACTATGCCTAGGTACCTAGCTCCCTCGCCCAAGTCACTGGCGCCCTAGCCCATCGAGGCCGGACCAAGGTCCAAAGAGGCTTGGCCCAAGTCCATTGAGGTTGAGCCCGAGACCCTAGTGCCCGTGCCTAGGTCCCTTGAGGCCGATTCTAGAGCTTCTTATTAAAAAAATATATATTATCGCAAACATTAAGAATCAAAGCATGGTCTTCAACATGAACACATAATAACATGACCTAAAGACATTTATATAGTGAAATGGTGTAATTTTTATTTTGTTTTATAAGAATTTGATTTTTTACCCAAAAACATAAAATAGGCCGGTTTCCAAGTAGAAAGAATCAAAACGGAACCCAATGATTCCCAATTCTAAAGCCTCTTTATATTTGTCCGTTAGCATGGTGCTCACTCACGTCTTTCACGTTGCTCATATGCCACACCTACTAGCCCATGGCCCAATCTGAGCACTTGAGATCCGTCACTGATTGATAAGAATTGGAGGTCGGGTTGGGTCCGAATCGAGTCGGATATGACTAAAATTATAATGTAAAAAAATGGATCGATTCAAATTTGACCATTTTTTACCCGATCCACACATTTTTTTTGTCAAAACCCGATTCACCCGATCAATGGGTGTAATGTGAGATGGTTTGGGTTGTGGATGGACTTGTTTCACAGTAGAGGCTCTTTTGGTCAGATGTAGTTTTAAAACTCTGAGGAAGGTGAGTGAAGTGTTGAAGCGTGGCAGGGTAATTGGTATTTTCCCAAAATTTTATGAACATATCCAGATCGTTTTTCCTTTTGCACGAGATCGGCGTAACGACGGTTGAAGAACTTACGTAAAATTAATAAAAGAGAGTGCACTCGAGATACTCGAATGAGTATAATATGGTATTTTGCTACATGACCATGAGTATCGACCGCTTGGAGTTTATTTAGAACGTACTCAATAAGTAAATAGATTTTAATAGTACCTTTTAATTTCAATTTGAGATTAGACGATAACATAAACACCACGGCTCTAGTTCACCCCAATTGGATCAGCATAATTCAGTAAAAGTATGTCTGCGATCTCTTTCAAGTTTTCGAAACTCAACAAATAGAGAATTTGCTGGATAATGACATGGAGCCAACAAAAGTAATCTCGCATTAATTCCGACCAACAAAAGAAGAAGTAATCTGACATTAATCATTTGCTGGCTTTTCCACATTTGGAGACAATTGTTAGGAAGCGATTGACAAATATGGTGAACATAAGTGCACCTCGTTAATTTGGTAGATAATAATGGTCATCTCCATGCTTCGTTGCTTATATAAGAGCTTTCAGTGCCGGAGTCTCTCGATTGTCCGATGGGTCACGAGTCACAACATGTATGGTCGTGGTTATGGACATTCGGGACACGTTTGTCCCGATTCCTAACACGGTGCAAGGATCGTTTTGCCGAATGTTTTATGTGTGATTTCGATGTGCATCGGGCTTGTTTTCATTTTTGGTGGTTCACATGCATCACTGTGGCGGCTCTAGTTTTTTTTTTTTTTGGTCAGTATGCCGGCTCTAGTTCAAGAGTAGTTGCTTGGCCAATATAAATTAAAGAGTGGTTGGTAGTTGAAACTTCACACTACGCGTCACGCCATCGCTTAGTCAAATACTCCCCGTCAATAAGTCAATTCTTCGGCCTTTTTATATATTTTGCGTGTATAAAGATTTTCGTGGAGAAAAAAAATCACCAATTCATTCCTCAACACATTTTATTGATGCCAATTCAGTAGTTTAATGTTTCGATGATATTTAGCGTATCTTTTTAAACTTTAATTCACTGATTAAAGGAAAAAAAATCTTGCAGGTATGTCGGAAATGTACA